CCAAGACATCTTTGAAACCGGTTATTATTGTTTTAATATTAAGCAATGAAATAGAAATTCAGTAAACTTTTTCAAAGCTTTTACTTCAAATGCAAAAGATTTGTTCCCTGAACACCTGCCAATCATTTGCGAGTATTTCTGAATCTGATTGGTTAAAACTTCTCCTGAGTTTCTATTGGTTAACTGGAGTTAAATTCGTCCTTTGATAATTGATTGATTATTATAAGTCTGTTAAGGTCTGTCATTTCATTTCCTTTTTGTTGCTAAGTTCGTTTTTCTAACCAACATTCACATTCAAAAATTTGTCAGAACTGTGACAACATCCATAGTTCGGGAATTCATCTGCAAAAACAGGAAACTTCCCTTCGACTAAAAAGAGTTTGTCATCATTTTTGCGAACTATAAAACATACTATTTTCTTTTCTATTGTCGCTTTCAGCGGCTATGGAATAGAATCTGTTTGTCTTTATTTTTCTTTCTCAGCCAAGGTGTCAAATCCGAACAAAGAAAAATGGGCATACAATATGCAATTTCGGCTAATGAGAATCTTTTGAAATTTTAAGAAAGACACTAATTTCCATGCCATCTAGCATCTAAAAATATTTGCAAGTTTCATCATGGCTGCGATTTAAACTGGAAATTGAGTTTAAACATGGGCCTCTGCAATTATGTCCAATAATCTCAACGAATTGGAGAGGACAAGTAAATTTAAGGCCGCGCTGAAAACATAATATGTGGATTGAATTCATACGACTTCTTTCTAAACTATTTGCTTTCCTTCCGCTACATCCTCATTCACAACACTCCACAGGAAAGCTCATTCCAGACTGAACTGCTCAAACAAATCCAAAACAATATTCGTTGATTTACCTTTGAACAAAATCAGTATAAATGGGTTTTTATTTTGCCTTCTGAAACAGAGGGTGCTTTTCTTTATTACCGTATTTAAAATACCTCGTCATTAAAAATAGATAACGAAGACACGTTTTCCAAAATTTTTTAAGCTTTACAATCCCGCAACAAATTTATAAGCATCATTTCAAATCTTCTGTAAGAGGATTGTTAGTTGGTAAAAATCTCTTGATATTCGTTCTTGAAAGTTGCCGCAGCCAGTGTGTATATTAAAATTTTTCCGGTTTGATAAATAAGCAAATTAAACTTTTTGGACCGCGTTTCCATAGATATCGCACTTTATTGTTCAACCGAAACTGCCAAACTGTACTGATAATTTTTTTATGTAACGCGCGGTAAAATATATCTAGCTTGAACCCGAAGTGATATTAACATTTAATCGAGACTTCTTCTCAATAAATAATTCAGTTTATTTCAAAAGAAGCTGGATTTTCGAACGAATTCGACAAGCCATGAAGAAGCTTTACACCGCTGCCAAACTTAACACAAAAAGAAAAATATAATTCGCTTAACTGAAAGTAACGCTCTCGCACAAGTGTTTTGTGGTTTTCTGTAAACGAAGACGTCTCAATTGATAACATCCTCGATCGATGTGATCTATTTTCAAAGGTTTAATCAATAATGCAAGTAGTTTGGCTTCCCAACATAACCAACTTTCAGAAGGTAAAATCACTGTGAAGAGAGCTTCGTGAGCTCGAAATACTTCAGACTCCCTCCATTGTCAAATGTTTAATGAAATGAGTAGCTTTGTGCAATGGCAACGAGACGAAAAAGAAAGGAGCAGCAAACGAAATTGGAGGATAAATTCAATTATGACAGAAAATTCCGTCAAAGCGAGAAAGTGTTCCACAGCGTGAATTTAACGAAAATGCCGGTGGAAAATAAAACTAGGCCTGCTGTTGTATTTATTTACGTTCGCAGCCTTAGACGGGAAAAAATAATCGTCATTGAAATAAGAAGGTAAGAGGGAGTTGGACTCTTAGCATCTTCAGGAAATCTAGCTGGGGGAGAAGCGAAATAAATTAAGCTACACTAGGCGATAAACTCACTGATATGTTACAAGGACCAGTTGATGTAAGACTGATAACAAGAGATGGAACACTTTCGGCTTACAATTCGATACAAGAGCTTCTTGTCGCCATCATTTGTCGAAACAACAGAAACGTTTTTGACAATTACAAGCTCTTCAGATGACCTCGGGTCAAAACTATTGCTCTTTCCTTGTACTCCTAACCCTGTGCAACATTAATTAACAGGTCGCTTTTCTCGAACTGAAGCGTTTTAACGTGGTGTAAATTACAAAGATGTTACACAACAGAAAATTCCTTCTTTTACCAAATTGCCATCGATTCTACCAGAATTAGGTATTACCTGTGTGAACTTAAATTCCATGTTAAGGGAAACTAGGAATGTCTGAGGAAAGATTTTTATGACGGGCCACCCAGCTGTTAAGAAAAAATAACAAATGTACCTTATCGGATTCGTAGCTTTGTCCTGTCAGAAAAATGAAGTTGAAGCCTTCAGCGGCACAGAAAACCAATCAAAAATGCGATAGATTTTCAGAGGATTGATCCCGTGTATTTCAATGGTTTTAACTGACCTCGCTGTACTCTTTCATCAGTGTTTCGACGTCTTACTTTTTGAAACTAATATCCGACACGACTTATTCAAATGCAAATGTATACGATAAACTTAATCTGCATTTATTAAACGCTGTTATTGTGGGCATTGTTGCGAGCCCTTGAAAAGTCCATTTAGTAGTTTTAAGTTATGTGGTTCCTTTTATTCCTGCTGAAATTGGAAATGTCAATTTCCCCGCCTATAACAACTCTCGATAAACGCTCGTGAAATCTAATCGATTTTCCGTGAAGAATAGAGTTTATTTTCTTTACACCAAAGCAATGGTATTGAGGCGTCTTGGAAACATTTTGCCCATATTTATATCCGGGACGAGCGGAAGAAATTATCACCTCAGATCGTGAAAATGCATTTAAAATCGGGCTAATGAATTAAGCGACACAGCCTCGTTAGGCTCTATCTTTCAGCGTCTTGAGAAAAAGTAAACATTTAGAGATATTTTCGCTGTCTTATACAATAAATAGGCTTTAACTCAAATTGGATCGAACCGATAGAACGCTCGCAGTTAATCACCAAGCAATCGACCTCTTTTTGTTAAATTCCAGTTTGGTGTTTTACCCGGGTAACCGAGTTGAAAGAAAAAAAAAGAGGTGGTCGCATTCTAGGCTATGAATAAGATACGCGCCCTTGTGTCTCGTAAAGTGTTCTACTTGTCGCGAACTTGAAAAAGGGTAAAGTAAACAAATGCTACCCAAGGGTTACACCCATAGACCGTTTTACATCTCTGTCAGTCAGATCTAACGCATACGAGTTAATGAAAAATTCTTATTTAAACAAAAAAAAAAAGCGCTGTTAGAGAATTCATTTTCCTTTTCTCGAGACATGTAAATTAAGAGCGAAGAAACGCACCCCACATTTGAAAAACAACAAACAACGCTACACGGAATGTATTTCCTTTGCGCAAGACATAATATTAACAGGGCAACTTTCCGAAGTTTTCTCTTAGGTTTTGCAGTTCAATGTTTCAGAAATGAATTTTTAAGATTGTTCACTTTGCGCTTTCTGTGATTTGCTCAGTGCCCTCGGCGATAGCATGCATGCCTTTCTGGGATCGTTTATGGGGGAGATTGCAGCTAACTAAGAAACAGAAGTCCTCGCATATAAACCTTTCATGGATATATTTCTCGTTAGTAAGATCACCTGTGTTTTAGAGTACGTCATTTTGAGACTATCAAGTTTTATCTCGATCTAGACACATTCAATATCCTTTTTCTCGTTTTAATAGATCCAGGGCTACTTAGAATAGAACTTACGAATGCTAATGTATCTCTGATAGGTTCGTCCGCTTTGCTGTATTATTCGATACCATTCTTATTGGTACTGAGAATACGAAAATTTGAATACGAGACAGTTAATCTCGTCGAATATCAAAGGTGTTTTTTCCGTTTTACTCAAAAACAAGTTTATTCTTCATTAGCACAGGTGTATTTGCTGTTTTAAAAATAACAAAGGGAGAATGAAATTAGCGACTAAAGAATTGAAGACGCAAAGAGAAACATTGAAAACATTAAAAGAAACCTTCCACTAATTCTCGTAATCTCATCCTGTTAACCGCAAATTTCATGTTCTAAAATCGAGTCGTAATTCCTATAATTTCTCAACAAGGTGTTCATTACTAGATTAAGATTTTCTTAGTGTTATTATAGAATGATGGCCACCATTTCACTGTTGCAGCGTCTGCCAATCTCATGACGTATTTTTTTAATGGTAACCTTCATCCCATCTCGAAGCGTTCTGGAGAGAGGAATATCCGATTCATATCTGCACCGTGTGTGATACAAAACAAAGTCCCAGATGGTAATCTTAATTTTGACGACTTAACTTAACCCTCAAACCCGTAAGTGTGACAAACATCGCCTTTATCATTTCTGGATCAAAGGTTGAAGTCGTGGGAATAAAGCAATTGATCTCCAACTAAAGAAGGTCTTGACCGTTCAGCTGTCCTGTACATCACATAGAGAACAGTACGGAGAGTATCTCTACTGATCTCGTGGTGTAGAAGGTTAACCCTTGCCAGTTAAATGTTATACTAAGGGGGGAAGGGTCTCAATGGGGTGATGGCTTTTACGGTTCTCGATTAAACTTTTGGTCATTCTTTAGCTAGCGGTTGAAAGTAAAATTTATACGGTTAACTGTTTTTATGGTTAATGGTTGAAATTTGTCAGTTTTTTGCCGAATGGCTAAATTTTTGGCCGTTTACGGCGGCATTGATCGAATTAACCGCCAGCTCTTGACCGTAAACTAGGTTGGTGCAACAATTCCGAAATGGAGACCGGGCCGAGATAATTTCGTTTCCATTTTTAGTTTTTCCGGCCCAGTCCTAAACTGAGCTAAGCTGTCACATCAGTAACAAATTTGATATACTGGTCAGGACCTTTGAATATTAGCTTTCTAAGCCGGCAGGACTCACCTGATGTGGCACAATTCTAGGCCACAAAGAAAGGGAACATAAAGAACAAAAGTCGTTTATTGTTGTTGTCGCAATGTTTATCATTCACTATTTCCACACTCCAGAACAAGAGTAAATGGAAGAACAGAGAGAAAGATTCCCAGTCCAGACCTTACAATGTATCAATTCCATTAAAATTATAATTAGATTTAGCCTCCAAAATGGAAACCTGTATTCCGAGAGGTCCGCATCAAGGATTCCTGAGTGGAAGCAATTTGATGGTGGAAAGCGCTGTAATCGGTTTTGTTGCTGAAAACGATTTTGATTAAGAGGGGGGAATGGTTTCTATGGAGCGAGAAATTACAATGCTGACGTCTGAGAATGCATCTTCCCATTTCCGTCTAAAACTAAATGATAATTTAGGTGTCATGGATATCCTTTGTAAACTTCCAGAGTGTTCTTCTCTCTCCTTCAATTTTCTCTTGGTCATTACCACTTGATTTTTAAAGATTAAGCGTCACTCTCCTCTCTGAGAGTCACACGTGTATAGTAAAAACTGCATTACATGCATATTTGAAAGATATCTACGTGAACACTAGTGAAAATAGCAGTTAAAAATATTTAACAGTACCGTGTTCTGGTTTGTCACAATTTTGGGCTTTGGTACCTTGCAATATTGTTATACGGGAATGTATATGAAAGTTAGCGTCTCACTCTTCGATAAAATTGTTTTTCTTTCTCACCTGTTATGTAATGATGCTGTCCCTTAAATGAAGATTTCGGACTTGAAACCTTTGTAATATATGTTTTTTTTAACCAAGTTATTACGTTTTTACGGTGGCTCACAACTGTCACGGCAAAAGAAGTAACCTCGCGGAAAAAACCCCTCGGCAAAAAGAAAAGACTCACGGTGGTGAGTCTTGGCCGCGAGGTTATTTCTTTTGCCGCGAGTCTTTTCCTTTCTGCGGTGAGGTTCCTCCTTTTGTCGCGAGTCTTTATCTTTTGCCGCGAGGTTATTTCTTTTGCCGTGACGGTTGTGGGCCACCGTACGTTTTGTTGCCGCTCACACACAAGGCTGAAATTCAGGGAAGCCTTTTGTTTTTTTTCTCCAGGATCGAACGTTGTTCTCCTTTCCTCACAATATCCCCACATTATCGCACCGAAAAGTAGGGAGAATATGCATTGTCATATATGCTGGATTTGTTCTCACACATTCCTTACTGGTGCCTCTTTTCTATGAAAAAGACAGCATTTGTCTCACTCTTGGAGCTTGCAGGAAAATAACAGCAGCAGAAACACACCCGATAATCACAGAGGAAATAATTATGAGTCTGTCCAACACTTGCGACGCCGCTCTCCACTCATCTTGCCATTCAATTATCTGATGCAAAGTTGGTTCCATTATTTGATGTGTGCTTTCTTTTTCCTGAGCAAGTTTTTCTTTGAGTTTGATGGAATGGTTGCCTTTGCCAGCAATACCGTTGCAGTTCTTCCCGCAGTTGTTGATGTTCTGTTTAGAGTCCATCTCTTCATCGACGACGCTATCTTTTCTCAAGTTCACAGACATTACAGAAACACTTGAATTTTGTTCAAATACATCCCCAACCCAGGTCAGAGCCAGGCCATTGTCCGAGTGGTTAAAAGTTGGGTCAAACGTTGGGTTGTGAATTGTATCGAGCGCATGCCCGCCGTCTGTTGACCGCAGACTCTCTTTGACTGAAAGCCGTCTTCTCTTGACCGTTACTCTGACAAGGGGCGCCAGAGTTCTGAGAAGAATCGTTTTTAACCAGCCGGGCATCTTTGTTTTGCTGTAGTAGAAGTTAAGAACGAGACAAGTGGCTGCTATCGCTAAACCGATTTCGAAGATAGCGACGGTGTAGTAAGTGCCTGAAAATATATTCAGTAACCAGGAAATATTCATTGTGTTTATCTATCTATTAGAGGTCTTTGGTTGTCGAAAAATATAAGTGGTTCCGTCCTTGCAATCTAACTTCGTGGCGAAGAGATTTCTAGTTAGTTCACGGTCAGTTCGTTAAGTAGTCATTTGGTCCTGTCTATGCATCTCTTTCGCATTTTCTTTAAGATTTTTTTTGGACTTCATCAGTAAAGATATTAGACGAAAATCATGCAAACACTACCCGTCTAGACTAACCATCGCAATTTGCGGGCCAAGGTATCCTCTGAATTTAATGTCAATGATAACATATTTGATTGCTATTTGCCTAATTCGCTGAGAATTCATCACTTAATTAAAACGTATTACAGAATGGATTCCTTAAAAAGTTAGGGGAGACTTTTGTGACCATGTGAGAGCTCACTCGTCACCGAAGCAGTCTTGTTTTTGTTGTAGTTTTTTTAGGCAAAATTTAAGGTGTTCTGTACACACTTACCGATCAAAAAGAAGGTATCTGAGCTGGGTGGTAGTTTCTCCGATGTAAGTTCCTGGAAGATTGTCATGGCCATAAGAACAGTTATACATAGTGAAATCCTCTCCCCACATTCTGGAGGCAACACGAACGTTAAAAACACCATACAGGCAATCAGTGCGCATGGAAACACCAGGTTGATGACGTAATATCTTGAGTGACGTTGTAGATTTAGTGTCAGCAACACTTCGGAATAAGGATGAGGACAGCATGTGTACTTTACCTTAAATTGAAACAACAATTTTGGTGAAATAACGTGAAACGGTGTTTTATGTTTTGAGGTTGTATTCAAGACATATGCCCCGATGATCAGTGAGCAGGAGTCAAGGAAATAAGAGAATCGAGGGCGGATCCAGAAATACTTTATAAGGTAAGTTCATTACTTAAAGTTTGGTGGTAATAAGCGATCCTGTTCTTTGAAGAAAAGAATTTCGGTCTCAAGCGGAAGTGTGTTATGGAACAGGTTGCCTCTGGAAGTGCGGCGATTGAAATCCCCTACTGTATTTAAGGGAAAATGAAGGGACCTGAATTTCGATTCAGTGAAATAATTTAATCAGCTATACGTTATTTTTACACGGCCTCCTTGAAAAGCAGGTGTTTTCTTTTCATCTTAATTATTTTAGTTTTTGAAAATAAATGTACCTAAAGGAAATACCGTGTATAAATAAAGTCACCATACCATACCATACCAAGCAAGTAGGGGGAAGGGAGGGGGGAGGGGACCCGCGGACCCTTCCCTTGCATCTACCACCCCTACCTTTCAAAAGCGTTTTATTAGAGAGAGCGAGTTAGCGATGAATGCTGACGATCGTTTGTTGATCAAATAAATTTGATTCAGGCTGAGGATTAACTTAGAGGTAGGAAGGCAGGAAATTTAGCGAAGAAGCTTTATCGTACCCCCCTCCCGTCCTCTTTCTTTACATCGACAAAAATTTCTTGCCCTTCCCAGCTTCCTTCTATCTTAAAAACCCGAGATGGCGACCGAAGTTCTGTTAAAGAACCACAGAGCGTTTGGTGGCCAAGAATACGCTCGTGCTACGGAGTGTACTATTTGATAACTTGGGCATACCTCATTCCTCACTGCATCGACACTAACGAGATGCCACTCATTAGACGGCTGGTAAATCCCTTTCTGTAGACCTGTCTCTTTAGGATTGACGTAAACGTCAAGCTTTGAGACGTCATAAGCCCAGGAAGCAAATTTCATTTGACAGTGTTGCTCATCGAAAGGAAAATACTTGATATTGATTTTGCAAATGCTTTGGAACATGGCTGGCGCCATCCACGAGTTGTTTCCATCATAGGACAGGGAAATTTTGGTTTTGTATTTCTCCAGTGCACCAGCAGCATCCATTTCTTTGTCAGCGCTGAAAAATAAACTTTACTTGGTATGTTGATCAGGGATTTAATAAACTGAATTTAAGTCTGAGAGTTCTTGCTGCCAGTTGACAACGGACTCTGCACTAATATTATTTCAGAAACACGGTGATTAAACGACGGAAATAATAAGGTTCACCCTTTTACTCCAAAGATCTCATTAGTTTGGAGAATTTGTTATTGGATCAACATATAATTTCCAATTGATACTTTTCTTTGTTCTCTTCACTTTTCTGCTTAATATTGTTTTAAAACCTCAAGGAGAAATTCTGTCTTGGTCACTGAAGAAGGTTGAAGAATTAATTCATTGAAGGATTGCAAGAACGTGCGGTCTTTTATAAAGAAAATTAGAATCATGCACTTACTTGTTGTACAACAAAACATCTGGTACCCACACCTTTGATGGAACCACATAAACCGTTTGTAATCCACCATAGTCGTCTGGATTCCATCTGAGGTCAGGATTGTTCCAGTCCTAAGAGTAATTAAACTTGTAACTTGCTCATGTCTACAAAATCTGTTTAAAAACTAATTTTTGGTCTGTTTATTTTAAAATGCAACACCAGCGTAATGAGCCTCTGTACGCATCGCGTGCCTTTGATCATGATGGACCAATTCAGCTAGGGGCTTGATGAGCTGTCTCTGTTTCATTTCAATTATCGTTCCCACGTTTTTCTTCCATCTTTGACAAACTCTGCCGTTATTAATAGAATATCTAAGAGAGGTCATAGCAGAGCAATCTCGCGACGCTTTACGTACTGAGTCTGTTAAATTTTAGCCAAACAGCATAGCATATCTTAAAAGCAACAACGTGAAGGCTGGATTGCATTTCAAACAGTTGTAGCTTTTTATAGTTACTTTGCTTAGCTTTGTTGGAGACAAATTAAAAAAAACTGACCTGTTTCATCCACCATTGAGCCTGCAAAGCATTGTTCTTCTCGTCCTACGAGGGCGGAAAAAAGTATTTTCGCGCGTTAATTGGTTTTTAATCACATTATCTGAGTCTTCTAATTTGCGGTCTTTTGTAAAAGAATAGAACCCAAGAATTTTCCAGTTACGTCTCAAGACGAGGTCGGATCTTTTCGTGACACGGGGTCAAGTTCATTTACTTTTGTTTACTGTTTTGGAGCTCATGTCGATTGATAATCCTAAAAAAAGAAATGATACGACTGTCATTAAGAACAGTGCAAAATAAAGCAAGGCACCTGAAGCACGAGGAAAAGGGAGCGTCCGAATCGTGATTGGTTAAAGTACAGCATCTGATTGGCTCTGTTGAGTGGCGCGAGTTTTCTGGACCAATCACAAATCAGAGTGACGGGTACAAAAGCAACGCTATTGAATATTGAATATTCCTACAAAGCTTCCCGTTGTGAGTTTACTTACAATGTTGACAATCCGTACAACTTTCGCGCCTACATCCACTTTGACTCGTTGTCCGCCACCTGGGTGCCCATCTCTGTCATAGCCCTCAAGTAAATCGTCCAACAACCGCTGTTGAGGGTTGCGAGAGAAATTTCTTTCCGCTTTTTAAAGAAATACAGAAGATTTAGTTAAAAGTACTAAATATTTCTATCTTTTTTATCCATGCATTTTTGCTGCTTTAAAGGTTTTTGCTAAATTGATAATTACATAATTTGGGTGGCAACTTGTTGAAAAGCTGCGTCGAACGCAAGAACGTTTAATTATTTGCAAAAACTTAATGAATAAACGCAAAAGTTGCGGTCCAATACATTCATGTGTTGAGATATTCACTTACCTATTTACTTATGCTCGTGCTTGCCAGTGTGTGTGTGTGTGTTCGTGCATAGATTTACAGTACGTTCGTATGTTTGAGCATTCGTTTTTTTTCCGATTGAGGGAGATCATGCATGCAGCTCAGGTTAGCGTGATGGATTATGAAGATATTTTCAAGCTGTGTACTTTGAACGTTATTTTTTTCTTTCATTCATCTCTAGAAGCCATAGATAGCTAAAAAGCTATGATTCTAAGTAATATGGTGAAAGTACATTACATAACAACTTTTTTTGTTCATTCAACAAACTTTCTATTTGTGAAATAGCTTAATGCAAATGTACTTATATAGTAAAAACAAACCTAACCCATTAACTCAAATCGCAAACGCAATCAAACGAAAATAGACGCCGAAATAACAGAAACCATTTTAAAAATATAATCAACATCCATAATTTTGAATTTAATGTTTCATTTGACCTCAAGTACTTTGTTTTCAATCAACACTGTATCATGTAAATCATGGAGGTGTATGTTATTCCTGAATGTACCACTTTAGAGTCATCGATATTCTGAGACCTCCCTCTCATCTAAATTTCAACATGCCTCATCCCCTTCCAAAAATGTTTTATAGCAGATATACCACGGAGTCTGATAGAAATTTAGCTTTAATTTAATTTTACCTGAGACCATATTTTTACGCCAAAACTTTACAAGCGCTATTCAAAACACTTGAAAGGTATATAAGTTAAAAGCTTTCTTACACTTTGCCAGAGTTTGTTTCTTACCGTTAGTTGTTTGGTAAGTCAACATGGACACCGCAACTTGCAACATCAGAACTCGTAACATTATTCCAGTGCGGTTTGGCCAAGATTTCGACGAGCTCGCTCTTTTATATCTTCTGACAACTACCGCCTAAAAATTTTGTAATCGATCCACAAGCCTGTTAATGATGAAGAAAAAAATGTTACCGATTCTTTTATATAAAAGCTTTCGAGACTGCTCTTCAGACGCGCAGATTCAGTGTTCCTCAGATAATTATTAATTCGTTTTTGCCGGAGCACAATTGTTACATATTTTCCTTAACTTCAAGGAGACCTTCTCCCAGGCTCTCAACCCTTAGCTTCCTTTCCAGTCTCTCTGTTATCTCTGTATACATGATTATAAATGCTTTGTCACTGTAAATTACCTCTTATCAGAATGATCAGTTATACCGTACAGGTATACATCATGACTATAATTACGATATTAAGGCAACAACATGCCAAGATAATGAAAGAACACACAATGAACTTCGGACTCTTAGTACAACCACAAAATTAAGATCTGTCTGCACGCGTGAAGAGTTTTCACTTTTTGTTCTTGATTTGGTTTTTAATGATGAAAACAAAGATCGGAATAATGACATTACCTTGATTTCTTTCTGATTAATATTTTGAATTACGCAAGTCATATTACGTGAAAATTTTAGATCATACCGCAGAAATCTTCAATCTACCTATCTGGTAAAATTCAAGGTGTGCATCTCATCCATAGATATGAAACCGAGTGCCTTAGGGCTTGAATAACAATGATGTAGACTTCAAGGCGTCGATGAAATTTAAAGCTCGGTCCGCCCCAATTTTTTTGCGAGGAAGTCAAAATAATTTGAAAAAGTAAATGCATTTAACGCTATTTTTTTCTTTTTTTTTCCATTTTGTAGAAGTGCGCTACAAACGATATTCGGCAATATCCTAAAGACGTGAGTTGATTTGTTAATGAGACAGATGATTAGAATTTTACTCTTAAGCGATTGATGACAAATTTATTTTATGAGAACAACATCGGACTTTGTCGTAATAGCTTTACTCTATCTGTTTTTTTTCCTAAATTTCCAACTTGTTGTGTATTTCATTTGTTCGAAGTCTTTTGACCCATTAAAAGAAAATCCTGAAATAAAATATTTCCATTCCACATAATTATCTCATTCAAAATGATTTGTAATCTAAACAACATAAAAACGTGACAATTTAAAACCGTGAGTCAGCATTTTAAACTCACGGAATTGATCCACACCGTACGAGCCAGCTTGAATCAATACTCAGCTGTGAGCGGAATCTTTCATTTCAACTTAACAGTTGTCTTGTAAAAAAGTACTATTTTAACTGTGCACAAATGTTAATTTGAAGACAGCAAGTGAAGCATCAAGTTGTAAAATTTAAACAGCATTTCTTGAAAAATACTAATAAAGTTGGCAGACATGGCGGCATCTTTACGCATGAAATTTTTTCTTCTACTTTTTTACATTTGAGAAATCCCACAACATTGTGTTTACTAATCATATAAGAGTAAATGTAAATGCAAATGTATCGTTATGATATGGCCGTTGAAGTTTAGAATAAAGATTTGAACATTACCTTCGTGCCGTACTTTTTGCGAACGATTGTCGCACTGTTAACCACACTTACTTCTCGACCGAAACTTCCGACACGCTTTCTACAGGAAGGCCGACGTAGGCGGAAAAAAAAATTCGTCCGCATAATTTGAAAAGTAGTTTAGCATACTACCGCTTTTAAAGAGGTTTATCAATAAAATTTTATCCGTGTTTGGTCAGCCGGCGAAACGAGCGTCAATTCAAAGTCATTGCTACACTTGCGATTGAGACTGAATAGAAAATTTGTTAATGAAACTGAAACTGTAAGTTAAAATTTGCGCTTGGAAACCTAAATACCTACAAGCAGTCAAATATAAACGGAATACAAATGGTTTTTCCAAACATGTGCAGTCATGTGATCATCGAACAGGTGATATTGATGATGAAATATCAATGTAAATCTAAAGGTTTCAAAGTTGGCGTTATTTTCACCGTAGGAAGCCAATTTTACATATATGTCGTATAGTACGTATGTGTAAAGTAATCTTATTCAACAGTCTTTAATCTTAGCAAACAAGTGTATTGAAAATCTATACTTTAATCATAGATATACAGCCGAGTTGTTATTCTACTTTTTTCAGAGTGCGAAACGTGCTAACCACAAGCTTTTGCCATGAAGCTATTACGCGGCTGATGGACGCCTGATTCTGAAAAATATAAAAAAAAAAACTCTCCAACATAATGAATTTACCACGATATCACCTGATATTTTGCGTCATTGCTGTTCTAAATATATATATTGACTAAATAAATGATGATCATGTTGTTATTAAAGCACGTTCGTTTTTAAAATTCAAGGTGGTTTGCAATTTCCTGATTTAACAACGAGCAATAATACCTTAATAAACCAAACCAGTTTCCCAGTACTCTGCTCGTATGTGTCCCTAGGTGTCTTTTTCTCTTCTTGTACACAGTGTTTGTATTAGGGGCTCGGTGATCAGAGTATAAATTTTCCGTCAAGGAATGAGTCACCAGTTTTCCTGTAATGAGCTGGTTCAAGTTATTTCCCTTAGAAAAAGTTTCTTATCCGGTAAGTAATGTTTGTGACAAAGAGCTCGGTGAAGCAGTTAAATATGACGATGAATAATGAGTCAGCAGATATAGCATACTTATACTTCCAAATGCAACGACGTGTTGTTTATAGTTAATAATTGATGACAGCGATTAAGTGGATGGCAATTTATTTAAAAGAGTGGAGGATTCAGTGAAATATTTTTGCTTATAGGCGTCATGACTTGAACTTCCTGTTGTTCAAAACTCAATGCTGATGAAAAGATTATATTGAACATGCATTTTTAATTATGTTAGTTGTAGTTTGGAACAAGCTCTAGGTATGAAATTCTTACGGTTTGAGAGACTCTGCTTAACAGATGGGTTCCATTATTCCATGTGTCTGTTGAGTTCTAAATCCCTAATGACGTCTCAAAGTAGTGAAATAAGTAAAATGGCAAATGAGCCTCAAGCGAGCGTATCACTGACGTCAGCTGTACGTCTATATTCTCATAGCCCAAAAGCAACAGCCAATCACAGCGCTCACAGTATTCAATTATAAGTGTATTGATGCGTCTGATGAAGCAGTTACAGTTAGAGACAGTAATCAAGCATGAATAACAAAGCTTGGTAGTTAGAGATCAGTCATTACTTCCCTCCTGAGAGGGGGATGATAGGGAGTTTGGGGGAATTTGAGGGGGATAACATGGTTTTTAGGAGGAAGGAAGGGGGGAATCAGTCGTCCCTAACAAGGTATAAGGGGGGGACTATTGAAAATTGACTGCCAATGATAATTGATCATAAGATTATTACAGAGCCTTATCGGGTAAATTCAGCGTAACGCAACTAAAATCCTTCGACTCTTCCTCCCCCCCGAGGAGATAAATGACGACCAGTCCGTTATATACTCAAGTTCAGCCGAGCAGAAACCCTCAATCGTCACCTTATCCCAACATGCACCGCTTCAATCATAATCTAACGCTGTCTAAATTTCCCTTTTTTACGGACGGAATACCTATACCTATCGGAGGGTCTTCAAGAATATTCCCCCCCTAAGAATATCATGTTGTCCTATAGTCCTTAGAGCTTGGAGAGAAAGCTAAAAGCGACAGTGTCGGTTTGTCTGAGAAGGGCTGGATCAGAACAATGTAGGACGTGCTATGTCTCGTCCTAATCTCCTCTCTCCCACGGTTCCTGCGCCAAATCGAGAGAAAAAAACAGATAGCTAACAGTTTATTTAGCGTTTTGCCCGAAACCTTCGTGGTCCGAAATATTGTTATATTTGGCACAGATCCAACAGCTAAAACTGAACTGTGGCAGGTTTGATCCTTTGAAATAAAAATTGTTGATGCAAAGTCAATTATCATAAGACTTTCCTACAGACAGATAATTGCATATAGCAGACTACCTGCTTATCAATCAACAGAGAAAATGTCACTGAAATTTTTTGTATATGTAAATACTCGGGCTAAATAACCAAAAGTTTAATTTAAAAAAAGATTACAGCTTCTGTTCCCTTTTACCGCAAATTTGAGCCTTTAACTGTGTCCACAAAAAAGTTATCTTTAAATTGAAATTCAAATTGCCTTGAGTTTGCCAACCGCTGAATAATTAACTTTATGAATATTTTGCTGCATTCTAATACTTTTTGCTAAATCATGATCATGATCAGGAAAGAAAACGATCGTTTTCTTGTCCCACATTTCTGCCGATATTTTGGGTGGCCATGTTATAAAAGACATTTGTAAACCCTAACATGAAATATTTATAACACAAGAGTAACAAGGAAAAAGAAATATATATATCATGGTAAAATTGAAAGCTGAAGGAATGTTCAATTAGGCGTCTTTAAAGAAAAACGGAAAGGAAAGCGATGCCTCACTGACCATTCTTTTCGCCGCAGAGAGCAACTGAAGGCCTGTCTGACACTCGATCAAGGCGACAAACAGGCCACAGACGGCGTTGTGTGTGCAGCTCTAAAAAGTAAACTGGGATACAATTTATGTATCCACGTTACACGAAGGGAATTGTCTGTACGACCTGTGTTTCAGCTTTCATTTGCTGGCTTGCTACCACTTCCTATAACTACGAACCCGCTTGAATTATTTTGAGGGAATTTTTGATGTCTTCAGCCCAAACTTGTCCAAAAAGTAGAGTAATACAAAAAACACCATTCGATCGCCCTACCTTTTTGAGAGATTGTGGTTTACAAGTACTGTCCACAGATTCAACAACAGACAGCCGTAATAAACTGCTGTATATGAACAAAAAAAAAATGATTTAGGAAAGCTTCATTACTTGTTTTCACATAAATTTAATTAAAAGTACTGTTAATGCGACGAATGAATGAATTTTCTTTTTTGTGACGCTTTGACAGATGGTGTCGGCTTAACTGAAGTATTGATTGGGCACTTGTCAGTCCCAAGTCTTGAGCAGACCTCAGAGT